TCTTGTCTTCCAGGAGAGGTTTATAGAACTAAATATAAAAGCATATAGTGGCACTCTCACGCTCCTGGTTCCTCTGTCTCTATTGTCTCTAATACAGAGGAGAGTTTGACACATGACAAGCGTCAACCACCATCACCTCTATCCACCAACAGTTCTGTGTGTAGAGTGCTACTTCTTCACTTGTTTACACTCAGAGATGTGCATTTATGTTATCACAGTGCATAGTTTCAACACATGCATAATGGATTTTGAATGTACTATAAAACTATACCTAGATTTAAGAATTTTATTGGTTTTGGTCAAAGGCCAATGTAAAAAATTTCAGGGGGCTGGCCTGGTGGCATGGTGGTTAAGTTTGCCTGCTTTGCTTCGGCGGCCCAGGGTTCGCAGGTTCAGATCCCGGGTGCGGACCCAGCACTGCTTGTCAAGCCATGCTGTGGTGGCATCCCCCACAAACTAGAGAAAGATTGGCACAGATGTTAGCTCAGCGACAATCTTCCTCACACACACACACAAAAACTCAGAGCAAATAGTATGTTTAACATACTACTTTGAATAAGGTACAGGATCAAAACAGCAGAAAGTTAAAGGGAATGTGAAACATTTCAGTGTGGATTATGTATAAGGGATTATCAAACAAATGTATCACCAAAACGTTTTAACTGAACTGTCAGAATCGCCTTTAGCTCTGGTTTTTGAAGTAGCCAATATGAAAAGACACTCTATTTTTATACTGGCCACTTACATTTAAATTTAATTAAAATTAAATAAAATTAAGCATTCAGTTCCTTAGTCACACTAGCCACATTTCAGGTGCTTGATAGCCATATGTGGCTAGTGGCCACCGTATTGGGCAGTTCAGATATGGAACATTTCCATTATCACAGAAAGTTCTATTGGAGTGCCCTGCTGTAAAATGTACATAAATGTTTGAATCACATAGTAAGTATTGCTGTTTAGTGACCAACACTAAAAGTTGCTTCCGATACATTTTGACATAATTCTAAGTTATGTCTACAACTCTAAGCAACATGATTATATCTTGGTGTTAAGATAAAGGTATAAAACTTGATTTCTGAAAATTCATTACAACACAGAAGTTCATTTTCTATTTTTTCAAGGTCTATGTCTTCATTTAAATATATTTATTCATAGTGATATTTTCCCTTTTCAAATTTTTTCTCTTGATAGGAGTCTTTCACAGTTTTCTGCTATTACTTACTACACACTATCTTGGCATAATTTATATAGCTTAAAATAACATATATTTTATTTATGGTACATATTGCTTAGCAACCCAGTTCAAGTTTATTTTGAACAGATAGATCAATTCCAATGTATATGAAAATATTTTACTTGTTTGTGTGATTATGATGTTATTGCTAAAAATAAAAACAACAGCTATAGTAACAACAGCAAGCAACCCCAACATCATGAGGATGACTGACTGCCACGCACCAATATTTTACTCTGTGCTCTTGTGTACATTCTACTCAACTAAGCATAAGCCTGGAGTTAAGGTATAGGACATATCATTGTTTCCTTTTTGGAGGCAGAAAGCCATGTTTCCCTCAAGTCTTTTCCAGTATTCCTATTCTGCTGTCTGTAAAATTAAATCAACCTATAAACCATGCTTTAGATCCTTATTCTTCAAAGTGTGGCCCACGTATCAAGAGTGTTAGCATCATGTGGGAGTTTCTTAGAGATATGGAATCTCAGGCCCTACCCCAGACCTACTGAATCAGAATCTGTATTTTAGCAAAGTACCCAGGTGACAAAGGGCACTCTGAAATTGGAGAAGCATTGCTTTAGACAATGAAAATGAGGCCTCAGTAAGTCTGCCCTTTCTGGGGCATGGTGTTATAGGTCGAATCGTGTCTCCTCCCAAAATGTATATGTTGGAGTCCTAACCCCCAGTACTTCAGAACATGTCTTTATTTGGAGATAAGGTCTTTACAGAGGTAATCAAGTTAAAATGAAGTCATTAGGGGGAGCACAAATCCAATATGACCGGTGTCCTTAGAAAAAGGGGAAATTAGGATACAGAGACATGTATAGAAAGAAGACTATATGAAGACACAGGGAGAGGACGGCCATCTACAAGCCAAGGAGGGTGGCCTAGATCAGATCCTTCCCTCAGAGCTCTCAGAAGGAAGCGACCCTGCTGACACCTTGAATTCCGACTTCTAGTTTCTAGAACTGTGAGAAAATAAATTAACGTTATTTAAGTCACCCAGTCTGTGGTCTTTTGATAGGGCAGCCCTAGCAGACACATGGTTACACTTTCTTCTGTACCAAGAATTGAACATTCAAATGATGTCTCCCAGGCATTTATGGTCTGTATCTGCCCAGAATGTGATCTCGTCGGTCAGGTAGGGTGCTTACAGCAGTCCTCTTGGGAACACAGTTCACGGGAGAGAGAATTATGTTTCTGACAGTTGCAAAACTAGACATTAAGGACCCCAGAGGGAGTAGCAGCCTCCCTGTAACAGCGTATTTCTTCAGCACGAAGAAAATGATAGCTGTAGATCAGAGAGTGTTACAGAAATTTAGAGTGAGAGCTGTAGGAGACATGAAAGGACTCAAGAATGAACCATAACGGGATGGGAGGAGCGAAAAAGGAGATTCAGAGAATATATCAGAGAAAGCAGCAAAGAACCACAGAGGATAGGAGGAGAGGAGGCTGGGAGACTAGAGAAAAATGAGTAAGAGTGTCTTTTCTGATTATTAAGCCACCACAAATTAATGAAATGGAGTAGTTAATGGACTCCTCTCCAAGATTTGCAATTTCAAATCTGCAATGCACATGGATCCTGGGATTAGTAATATCTAATAGCAATACTTGTCAGAGCTGGAAGGAAGCTAAATCTCTCATTTTATACATAAGGAAATTGTGTCCTGGTACAGTGAGGAACTTACCCAATATCACCTGGCTAATTAGTTGGAGACACAAGCCCAGGATCCATATCCTACAGCGCTAGCCCAGGGTTCCTGCCAGTACACACGGCAAGCATGGCTTTTGGTAGCTATAGATCATAGAACAGAGTATCTATGATAATCTAAATTACTTTACATGAAGCACATGGATTTTGCATCAAGTAGTTTTAATTAGAAGGCTATAAATATGTCAAAGGGATCTGATGACATCTTATTAAATTACAAGAGTGAGCTCAAGTCGTTTCTGATGTGGGCACAGTCCCAAGAGGAATGAGTTTTATAGTCAGGAGCTGGCCAGCCTTCTCCCTCTCTCTCCCTGCCCCCTCCCCTTTTCCTTTTTAAACTCTGTTTGTTTAATAATAGAAAATGCTGTATAGAAATCAAACATTAATCAAATTATGAAAATGGAGAAGGAATATTTCATCCAAGTCGTTTTTCTGCCTTTTATCCTTTCATTTCTTTGAATGAAGATAGGATTTAATCTCCAGAGAGACCTCTTTGGGACTCCCAATCAAACAAACTGTATTTTTTCTGATAAGACACTAAGTGTGGCTGCTATTTTAACTTGTACTTCCATTGGCAATAGTACATTAGTCTAAAGAATTCTAAAAAAAAAAGTGAATGAAAAGAAGCAAGTTCATAGAACTCTCTCTCACATTAGCTGTCAGACTCCTGGACAAACTGGAGCTGATAGTTTTAAAAGTAGAAATGTGAGGTATGAAAATTCTTAGCGATAACTGTGGGAATAATGGCCTTTTCCATTGGGACAGTTCTCCATCGAGAAGCTAATCAAGGGGCAGTGAAGGAATCCAGAGAGATGAGCAAGAGAAAGAAACCACTTCCATCTCTAAGCTGTCTATACATATTATTATCATTTTCCTTGTGTCAAGTATGCAGGGGTTCCTGGTCTGTCAGGGATTCAAAACGTAGAAGAGATGCCCTCAGGAGACTTATAATGTGGTCGGAGAGACCAGACAGCCCAGGAAAGAAAGAGGGTGATTAGGGACTAAACTACAGGGACAGATGCTAAGGACTGGAAAGGCACTGCCTGAAGGGGAACTCTGGGGCTTCCCAGGCCACTGTGGAATGGCTAAAGGACATTTTTCATGGTGTCACTTTGCCTAACTTAAAACTACTAGACCATAATCTGAGCTCAGGGACTGTGTCTTTGAATAAGCACCTCGTAACACATTTTATTCTCCTAGAAATAATCATCACATACAGAAATAGCTTTTCCTTTCAATGAGTCAAAGAGATGTCTCTATCCAGAAAGAAGATCTAGATGAAAGCATTTTGCTCTTCTAAAGAATATTGGCAGACTTAAAATTCATGTTCAAAATAGCAGATCTGATCTTATACAAAAACTCTTGACGGTTAACTGGAAGCAAAATGGGAAGGTCAGCAAAGTTTGGGGCATTGGCAATCACCTTTCCTCATGTCCCTCCCCTTCTACATGATTCTTCCCTTCACTTTGGGCACTCAGTACTCTCAACTCCTCTTTCATATTCTTCATTTATTAATTCTCGCTTACTTGAAAGGATCAGATTTAAGTTATAACTTAAGGTAAATTTAAATCAATGTAACATCTTATGGCTGCCTAATATATGTATACAGTGAAACTGATCCTTAACATTGGCATATATTTGGGGGAATAAAACTTCAAAATTAGAACATGAAAAATGACAAAACGCAAGAATATTTTGAAGAAGTAGTGTGGGTGTGGAATAGTTAAAAATTAGTGTTTATATAATTAGCATGAATATTTAGGAAATTTTTTTTTTTGAGGAAGATTAGCCCTGAGCTAACATCTGCTGCCAATCCTCCTCTTTTTTGCTGAAGAAGACTGGCCCTGAGCTAACATCTGTGCCCATTTTCCTCTACTTTATATGTGGGATGGCTGCCACAGCATGGCTTGACAAGCAGTATGTAGGTCCATACCTGGGATCTGAACCCCGGGCCGCTGAAGTGGAACATGCAAACTTAACTGCTGTGCCACCAGGCTGGCCCCAGGAAAAATTTTTAAATTCTAAAATAAAAAAGAATTTTAAAATAGCACATGTACATCAGGTCATAAGATAAAGTTTAATACATTTGATCATGTTAAAGGACACAAAACACAGCCAATCTAACCAAATTTCAGGCATGCATTTACATAAATATATTAAATTAAGAAAAGAAATTATACACTTAAACATCCTTTTCACCTAAAAATCATTAAATCCACAGATCAACAATAAACACCAATTCTCTGCATTTACCACTTCAAGATACAATTGTTCTATTTTAAAGATAACACAAATACACTTGTTAGAATTTATATGCATTATACATATATTATATATTACATAGATAGTGTGTATACATATGTAGTGTTTGTACAGATAGATAAATATATATACATGGGTGTGTGCACACGTACAGATACACACAAACGTACTTTAGGCCATCTGTACTATTATTGCTGGATTCTAATGAGCTGAATGGAGCTCACTGAGTGTGATTATTGTCTTTTGCTTCCAACATGTTCATCATATCCACTGGGCTCACAATCCCCCACTGTAAACGTCCTTGCCTTTTCTATAGCACATGATCATGCTAGGCACTTCAATAAATATTTATTGAATTAATGAATGGATGGATGGCTGAATAATAGAGCGATCAAAGAGAACGGCAGATTATAATAACTTGGTTAAATAAGTCAGATTAATTCAAACTTAGAGGGATTATCTGAGCTAATGACTGTGTGTTACTTTTTAGAAGAACACTTGTAGAAATCCCAACTAGTGTATATTAACTCTGCTCCCTTACAAGTGTACCTGTTTTTACTACTTGTTCCTATAGCCTTCTGCCTCTTATTAACAGAAATTCAAGCAAGGATTCGTTCTGGTATTTTCCACGAGTAAGGGTATGGACAGATTGCCCTGTCCACAACCTAAACGAAAATGAACTAGGGAAACCAAAACATGTTAGAACAATGATAAAGTTAACCATTCTTTAAAACTGGACAAAATTAATCACAGATAAAGCCTAGAAAGACACAGAGTCTCTTTTCAGGTTTCTCTTATGCTTACTAATTATAATGATTTGACAATTTTTTTCATTTTAATTAGATGGGTTTCTTTTAAATAAACAGTCTTCTTTAGCGTGTCCTAGGGAATCAGGTTTCAAAAATTCCATAGTACTTCAGTATCATTGATCTTTTTACTACATGGTTCTTGGTGAAATGCATATCCAAAAATGTCCTATGAATGTAACGCCATAAGGGAAATATCTGATACCTCCTAAGTTGTCAATTCAACTTCTCAAAATAGTATTATGAAACAGATTCTACTATACATGAAATCTTAATTTATTCTAGGAAAGTCATGTCTCAGATTTTAAGAAAACGAGGTAAAGAAACATCCAGCATACATTTTGGGCACATACTATGCCAAACCTGACCACACACTGTTCATGTGAATGGAAACTATTGGCTAGTTATTCTTTAGGGCAAAAGGAAATGTACAAGAATTAGTTTCTAGCTGTGAAGACAAAACTGATCTTATATTTAGCCATTATGAATTTCCCATCACTGTGAATGTTGTTTTTTCTATCCTATGTGCTAAAATGTCTTTTTAACTGAAAATATTATAGTCAATTGTGATACCTCACCATACATTTATGTTAATTTGCTTGTATATGTATACTTGTACTTTGATTTTAACTAATACGTAATGCACATATGCAAAAAAAAAATCCTGAATGAAACGTGACGTCTGACTTTGTGATATACATGAGATGTAACCTAGAATTCTATGTTGAGTTGATACTTCTTTTTTGGTTTATAAATCACTATGTAACTGGCTAAAAAAAGCAATAACAGGTTTTAGGCCCAAGGCTTTATGTTGATACAAGGAATCCATCACTCATTTTTTGTTTTTTCAACCAACTTATATATGACCTACACAAATGGTTATGGGAAAGCAAGGTAAATGATGAGTGTGTCTTGGGTTCATATTTAATGAGAATTTAAGAAAAGTGCTAATCTGATAAATGAATAAACCTCTCCACAGCAGCGCAGAAACTACCAATATGATTGAGAAGAAACGGTGCTGTAACACTCCCTCACGCACTCAGGAAGGCATCATCTTACTCTCCTAAACAGCCATTTGAAGGCAATTTCCAAAACTTATGAGGACACATTTAAGAGAAAGAAGTGTTGAAGTTGGCTAGGATTAGTGTTTGGCAGGTTCTATGGTCATGTTTTTAATATTTTTAATATCAAAATGCTTCTATTCTTAAGTTTCCCATCTTCTTTGACACCATCTTAATTATTGGAGGTATGACTAAGTTGTGTTGATGTAGCAAAGAGAAAGAAGGGAAGATAGCAAACATATATTTCTTTAGGATATTCTAAAGAGGAACTTTCTGAAGGTATGGCCAGCATTCACAATAATAGGCCCACTAACTTCCCGGGGGTAATATAGAAATACGTATATTTTCTGGGCATAGAATTTTGGTATGAGTTCTCTGCAAGTTCAAGTCTTATCCCAGAGATGGGGAAAGAAGATTCTGAAGTCTCCATTGAGGGAACTACTTCTTATTTTATCCTCATAGATTTGGAATAATCTTCTTCAAAAGACAGTCCATAGTCATGGTTTTTAATTGAATAGCAACTAGCTACTAACTTTCACTACTGTTTGCTCAGGCTCTTGACTGGGGATATTCCTTGTGTCTTTCCTGTATCTATGATGGAACACCAGTTGAACTGGAGCATCCAGGCTGGCAGTCATTTATGCTTTTGGTTATTTCTTTCAAATGGTTATAATAGATCAGTCTAATATGTTCATATTTGTCTACTGTTCTTCTTGATATAGAGTCTGAGCAAATGTGACACCAGGAGAGGGCATTTTTCAGGAAAATAAAGAAAAGATCATAACCAGCAAAATCAGTAGCAACCCTACCCCAGGACATTTTCATTATGGGTGTACTGAAGACATGTCTGTTTAGTCAAAACCAATAGAAATAGAGGAGAAGGGAAAGGTTAAAAGGAAGAAGGATATATGGAGGGGGAGAAGAGAGGTAGAGAGAGAGACAAGAGAGTGAGAGAGAAAGATAGATATCATAGGTACTATTCTATGGCGATGCTCAGAAACTTTAATTTATTGATAAATCAATACAACTACCTATGGTATATCTTATTTTCCTCTTAAAAATTTGGACTTCATTTCTCTTTTATATGTCAAAACTAAGAAATTTAGACTAATAAAAGTTTAAATTAATGTGTACTTTGAAAGACCCTAAATGTGGCATCTAACCTCATGTCTTACACTTAGTAGGCTTGTTGTATAGTTTATGATTCAGAGATAAAAACAATATCGAAAAGAGATACATTAAATATTGTTAGTACATTATTATGTAATTATTTTCAAAGAAAGAAATAGAGAAGAAGTGCCTGCTCTGAAGTATGTAAACGAAAGGAGAATGGTTTTCTACTTAGGTTGTGTGTATATGTTGTATGTGTAAGTTTCTTCGCTCTTTCTTTATGAGATAGTCCATTAATCTGAGAAAACTGAGTATTCTTTGTGATAAAATAAAAGATACATTTTACAAGAGCCACATTGAAACAAAATTCTAAGAAGAAAAGTTATGGATGGAAGCACTTTTTATTGCCATCACTCAAGTTTCTTAACTCTTCCCTTCTTTTTACTGTAATCATGTGCCAATTCAGTTTTCTTCTCATTACCTTAAATAATTGGCGAGAAAACAAAGTTCTATTAACCAGGACAAGAGTGTGGCAGAAGCAGTGGTAGAAAGCTTTTCTCCAACTCTTTATAACTACCATAACAGCATTTCACATTAAATTGGCAGCCAAAATTTAACCTCTAGAATGGACAAATCAATAATATACATCTTCCTATTTCTTTGTTTAATCTTTATCTCATACATCTGCACTCATACCAAGGACATTTTTCTTCTATTTTGATTGTGTGCCTTATGAACCAAGGAGATGTTGCCATTTGTGTATTGAAACATTAACTTTTCCCTAGCTCATACTTTTCAACCAATTCCTACCTGCCTCTCACCATGAATTTTTAAGATAATTCTCCAGTCACATATTTTAAAAATCTACTTCAAAGGAAAGGTCAAAGGATCTTTTGAAATGACACTGCATTTAAAATATGTAGCCCTCAATTAGCCTTTGCTATTTTCTTCTTTCCTAAGAACATAAAGAAATGACTCCAACGACTTTACTTTTTTTGTTTGGGTTTAATATCCATGGATCTTGCTCTCTCCTTTTTAGAAGATTTTGGTCTTTTATTCTAATGACTCACAATAGAATAAACAATGACACCTGGGGTACATATGTTTTTCTAAGTCATTTGAAACTCTTCACTTGGGAAAGGACTGTATAAAACAATCTGGGCTTGGTCAATTTAATATAGATATTTTTAAATTGGAGAACTCACGGCAATATAACACCTTTTCTTTTGGAAAGATTCTTTTGGAAGAAATGGAAAGATTAAGGATGTAAGAAGAAACGCTGGATTTTTCAGATTTTGCTGAATATATAGCAGTATCCTTATTGTTTTCAGTGAAACTATGAATGGGAGAATGTGTAATAAAACTGCACAATTTGACAGATTTAGACAGCTGGCTCCCTCACGAGAAGTTCACATTTTGTTAATGTCACCCACGTTGAATAAGGGACGATTAGATGGTAAGGTCCACTTACAAAAATGGTTGTCAGGACATTTTTTTTTAATTGTAAAACTTTCTGTGATGGAATTCAGTAAAAAGGCTATGAAGAGAAAGCAACGGAGACAAAAGACTGCTATTAACCTACAGATGCAGGCTACTGCAGGGTTCATTGCAAGATTTGTCACACTGCTGGGCCAATGAAGTGCTAGTCTGACTAGAAAGGACCACCCCTTTTCTGGGGTAAGAGGGCAATTTGGTCTCCATGCTCATTTAATCCTGAGACTTCTTTGAATAGACTGTCAATTGAATCTAAATTGTGCAAAATTATGCATGCACTTTTTAATGCAGGCTATTGTTCACTAAGCACTGAACCAAGATTTCTCAACCCATTTCCATTTGGCATGAGGTCACTTGAAACTTAAGTAATCATATATGGAAGACAAGAGCAGTGTACTTAACCAACCTTTCTACGTTGTGGTTTCTATATAAATGCTCACTGTGCTTTAATTGCAAATCTCTCACTTTAAAACAATAGAGAAATACTAGTTACAAGATTTTATTTTTTTTAATTGAGGCTCATATTCCTAAAGGTAAGGAGCAGGTTTGGAAAGTCAGCCTGTGCTGTGTAATCTATACTACTCTCCAATTTAGATTCTGGAAGAACAGATGTTTACAGAAGGACAACCTATAGTGGGTGTGCGCATGTCATGAGTAGGTGTTTTTTCAGTAGTGCAAAGAGGCCGCATAATTTTCTTATAACCTAAACGTAGAGAGCTGGCCTCGAAAACCATTAAGACAAATGTCTATCAGACTTTTTGCAGTTTTAAATCAGAACATGGCATTTCTTTAAAAACTTGAACAGAACATTTACAGAAAATTTATTCATACATTAACCAAAGAGGATTTTCATTGAGTTCTGAAAGAACATATACATTAAAAGTCATATTTGGCAAGAATTATTATATTAAAAATTTGTACAAGTGACAGTTTACATAACCAAGATTTGTCAAAACGAGTGAGCTCTTCTCAGTGAGGTTCGATTCAATCTGAAATCTGCAACATTCTAATTACGTATACTCGGACAGTCTTGCTATGGTGAAAAGCACATTACAAATGTTTAATGCTGGAATTTTATAAGGATTGGCTGTTTTCTTGCTTTTTCATCCGTCGTTAATGATTACATGTTGGCACAAGGATACATTGCTAGATTAGATCCACAGCACATTAAAGACTGTTTCTCACTCCCCTTCATTCCAATTAAGTTGGTGAAAAATGTAACTTTAGTATTTTACAGGACAGGGTAAAGGTGTTTCATCTAGGTGATGTCTATATTATAAAAATAAAATAAAAAATATAAATATGTAACACAAACCCAGTGCCTATTGTTAAATAAAATATACAATAAAAGCAGACCTTTTAGGAAGATTGGTTTTAGAATACGTATGCTGTTATGATTTAATTATAAAACACTTGAAAACAATCTTGAGATTAAGCTAGGGTAACAAGACTTATCTGCCAATAAAAAGGTAAGTGCGTAACATTCTGTAATTGGATACATTGATAAAAATGAAGATTACAATTTTATACCAAGTTGCCCATTTAGAAATTCATCAGGGAGTTCTGAAACATTCTCTCATATTATAGTCCTTTAATATAAAAATATTGCCTTTTTTTATTAGATCCATCAGATTGTACAGCAATGTTTCAAAACTCCATTAAAGTTGACTTTAGTTATTACAGACAGAAAATTCTTGGGAAGTCAAATAATCTCTTCTGGTGACATAAAAATTCCACTATCAATTTACAAAGGAATTTTTGCGTAAATTACTCCACACAAGGAAATATATATTTTTAAAACCCATCTGTTATGCAACCACGGGTATAAGGGTTGTGAGTGTGTGTGTGTATGTGCATATGTGAACCAATGTGCCAACATACACACATAGGATCTGCACATTTCTGAAAATTATTTTTAAATTAATAAAAGAAAATGAAATCACAGGAGTGTGTAGCAGGATAACAGTCTTTCTTTTTAATGACAGGATAAAAAATAAATGCCCATTGGAAAGGAATATTCAAACAGTCCCAGAAACTATACAATGTAACTTGTTAGATCCAGCAAATAAGATGTCATGTCAATGATCTGATCAAGAATACCTGCCCTGGTTACTCTGCGGATGTTTCTGTCCACTTGTTCACACTGAGGACCAAGGTATCCTTTTTTACAGAGGCACTTGTTTGGTCTAACACAGACACCTCCGTGACGACATGCTGGCTCACATTTTGCTGGGAGAAAAAAGAGCAATAAAATCACACACTCATTCTGTAGGTCAGAAACAGCACTGAGTATGAGGTCAACAAATATTTGATGAGGAAGGGCAGGGAGGGAAAGAAGGAGGAATCTAGTCACAGAATGATCTGAAAGATAATAAATACAAGAAGAAAAGAAGGCTTTCAGACCCACAGTTATTTGGGGGCCCGAAATCAGCAGACAATGGGAGACACTTCCAGAGAAGCAGAGATCATGGGAAACAATTTCAATCCCTCGTGGAACAGACTCTATTTAAAATGAGGATTTCAGTTCTTTTAAACCTTTGATCCATTAGGGCATTTCCAACAGGGGGCCTTCCAAAACTGTTCCCATTTCTCCAGGGTAAGACCTCTCTGTGGAACGGGCGCGGCTGGAGAGGGAGGCCCAGCGGCTGGAGCATCTCCAGTGCAACACAAGGAATGGTTAGTTTTCAATTTTGGTTAGGGGGAGTATCCACCATGTGGACTCTGGTGGATTCCTCCTCTTGCTTGCTCCCAGAGGGTGTGCAGCATATGCCTCATCTCTGATTACACTTTGAAGCCCCTCTGTGGGATCAGTGCAGTTGGCCAGTGAAAGAAGTTCTGTGCAATCCTTTTCATGGTTACTCTGCAGCACAGAATCTCTTCATGAAAGAATTTTTAACCACTACAATATAGTAGGGAATGTAAAGATTTACTGCTAAAACGAGATGGAGAGATCAAATTGGGTATATAAGTTAATTATCTTTTACTGATAGAATAAATCTGGAGTGTGCAGCCACTTTAGACAGAACCAAATTCCTTGAATACACGTCCTTATACTTTCAGGGAACAGGGTTATTGTAACCTTTTCATATGCATTAATCAGAATCCAGCGGTCTGTGGCTGACACATAGAAAGGAAAGAAAATAGACTATTTTCTCCTTTAAATTCGAGGGAGATGAGTAAATTGTGTGACTATATGAATAAAGTTCTTGCTTGGGTCAAAAATACCACAAATATATTACTTTTATAAAATAGTCTGGTTTAGCTTATGTATTCAAACTATTTAAACTGATTTAGTGCAAAGATTAAAGTGCATTATTGAAACAAAACTTCATGTTATCTCAAAGAATGTCCATTTTCATTTATATCACATTATTATTATTAATCTCTATTATGGGATGTATAATGGCACCTATATTCAGAATAATTTGTTTACCCTCAGTTTAAACATACTGTTACTAGAAGGCACTCAGTAAATATTTGCTATCTGATGACTTGAGGTGACTTAAGAGGTAAGGCAAAATGCAAAGCAAGGAGTAAAACAGAATGGACACTATATAAAAGCAGAAAGAAGAGATATTGTCAGGCATCAAAGGAAGCAGAAGGAAGACATATTATCAGGAATTAGAATATTACTGTACTCGAATACTGATTCTCATTTTTTTTTTTGTCCACTAACAAAAAGGGAGATAGACTAGGTCAATTAAAATGTAAGCATTTCTTTTAAATAACAATTACTTAATTTCTGTTGAGTTTTATTTATGATAGCTTTTCCCTAGATTTGTAAGCATAATATTAATCAATCTCATAATGTTATTAGTGCTGAAGCAATTTGAGCTTAAAATGTATACTGTACATGTGACTTTAAATGTTGGCTACTTTTTGTTAGACAATATATAAAGCAAATAAGTCATGGTTATAATTTTTGAAGCAAATCATGTTTAGAATAAAGAAAAATGGCATTTACAAATTAAGAATAATATTAAATATTGATTTTGGACTTTAATTTTCATTGGCAAGACATACTTTAATATTTGAAATAGCTTTAAAATTTGAACTTTGAAGAGGTCAAAATCTTTTGTTGTCATATGTAATGATGGTTGTTGAAAATGTACTTTCAACATATACCTCTTAAACTCTACGTATCTAAATGTATTAAATTTTCTTTTTTCACACCAAGCAGAATTTAAATATCATTGCAAGTAATTGAGGAAATATCAAGTTGACGGATAGAATAACCCTGGAATAAATCTCCTTTGCTCTCTCGCGGCAGCTGCACACCTAATTGATGGCTCACAGGGGAGTGGCGAAAAGAATTAAAAAATCTCATAATATGCCTCTTAGATAATTGCATTTTCCTCTTTTATTTAATAACACCCACTGAAAAACTCTGTTTTTAGTGCACTGTAGCAAGAAAGCAAACAGTAAAGTTAGGGAGGGCATTTATGGGGTGTCTGGAAAATGCTGGCACTTGGAGAGAGGCTTTGCGAACACTAAGTCATTGGCTGGTGTGAAATCTCAAACCCAGGACTGAGAGCCCGTAGAGATGATCTAGTTCTGCTGTTTTCATTTTTTACTTTGCGAAAGGACTCAATTATGTTTATGATTAACTCATATAAATGAGTTCACTTACATTAGGAAAATGGGAAAGGTTTCATTTACACGTTCAGAAACAGACTGAGCATTAATATTATTGTAAACGTCTGAACAATTTTGAACACTAGAGAGTTCTAGAAGGAATAACTGATGTTAGGTTCTTGCGTTCCTAAGGGCTGTCTCAGGCCTAGTCTCTCCCGGGGCGAACAGAAATCCTCACCGATTCTGCAGAAGTCCCCTTCCCATCCCGGGCTGCAGCAGCATTTTCCCGTGGGCGTACAGTAGCCGTTCCGACAGAGCCGGGAACACTCCGAAGTCAGTGTCTGCGCAGGTTGTACCGTGGCTCTGCATTCCTCAGGCATTAGAGGTCTGCATCAAAAGACAGCCGTTCAAAGGATATTTTGGTGGAAAATCAATATTGGAATGAAATCTAGTGATTTTGTAGCTTACAAAGCATGTTCTTGCTTTCGAAAGAGACCTTTCTTTTAAGTGACTCAGAAAGGTTGACAACTTTCTAAGAACAGAAAACACACTCGTGAGGAAACAAACTAACCAGTTTTCAGCCAAAGGGAACATATTAAACATTTTAAGAAACTTTATCATGAGCAGAATTCATTGATTCAAAATGTAATTATACTATACTGCTATTTTTGGTAGTTAAGAATTTCTAGTAATTACAATTTTAAAACAAAAAAATATAGAGATATTTTAAAATCTTTTTATTTTTTAGATCTACAGAAATTTTTAGGAATAATATCTGAGGTAGGTTTCACTTGTTATTGGCATACTTGGCAATATCACCAGGCTGAAGACATTCATCAAAATGAGCACTTCTAGCCTAAAAAAGCTTGCGAATCAATTTTGGTTTAATTTTACATTTCTTTTGAGGTACTTTTTTCAGATTGATTTTTCTTGAAAGGGCATTATAATATACGTGTGTGTGTGTGTAATACTGACTCAAATTTTAAACCCTTTATGCAAAAAAATGATCCACATATGGAGAGACTTTATATACATACATATGTATATATAGATATATATACATTTTTTATGATTTGATTTTGTCCTGCTCTAAAGAAAAAGAATGCTAAATAGTAGCAAACAGAAAAATCTCATCTGCCAAGTAAAAAGTCAGACTTTGTTTTCACTGCTCTACAATTGCCATCATTTACAGAGGGACCAAGATGCCTCCAGAAGATTTTTATGGTTCTGACTGTTTTTGAAATAAGACAAGCTGGGTCAGGCTGGAATCATGGTCACAACTGCTTATTACCTAATCTTTGGGAGCAAATGCGCACTGGTACGCCTCTATCCGTCACTGTTACCTGTGCCACAGTGTGTGAGAAGGCTCTTTTCAGTTAAGGAATGTCAACAAACACTTCATCACCAGTCAAATCAGTACCATTAGGATGGCCAGAGCAGTTGGACTCCTTAAGTACCATAACAAAGAAGGTGATAATTACAGGTCAAAAGCACCACAAGAGGTAAATGATATAGCCTTGTGAAAGAAGCAAATAATTCGGCCCTGTGGACCCAGTTTTCTTGAGATAGGTTATCTTGTTATGCCCCTATGGCAATATGAACAGTGATAATAATTTGGGGCCTGACCTCAGGCTATTTCTACACTGGCTCAAAACCATATTAAAAACACACAGTGACTTCTTTAGCTCCTCCTTCCAACGAAAGTCCCACTCTATGTTGAAAGGACTGTTTTTTGCAACTAACATGAAAATTTAAGAGAAAACTCTTTTAAATCTATTCAACCTCTTATTTAAAATCTAGAAAGGGTCAATTTATGTGAAAGGTCATTAAGGCATTCCATAGTTTCACTCAGAAAACAGTAACAAGTATTTTCCATGTGTTGCCTAAGGGAGTCTTTCTGAAAGTAAGGGCAGGGTGGGATAAAGTGGAGAAAAAGTTTAATGGTTATGCCAAGGAAACAGAGGGCATGAAGTTCACCTTCTTCTTGTTGTTTTGAACAAACCAATTCTGCTCTATTTCTCCCGCATATAAAATTCTTATTTCGTTTGTGAAACAATAGTGGCATTTTTTTTTACCAGTAGAAGAGCTGTTTTTCCATAGCCATGAAGCTCTTCTGAGTCACAGGCCATGATTATTTACCAAGTAGAATTCAGTAAACAGGTATTCTTCAAATTTTACAGGCAGCTGAAATTCTTCCAATTTCTATTTGTTCCTCACTTGTTCACTCTCCTTCTGACTCATTCAAGAAAAGAGACCCAGAAGTAGAGTGAGTCAAAAATACATCACAGGTTATATGTGATGCCAAATATGCAGGGACTTGGCTCACATGCTACTCAACAAGATGGCTCATGCCTGAGCAGATACATCTAAAGAGAAGCTACTATTTAGATCAAGAAGATAGGTGACATCGGTTAAACAACAACCAGAAGATGTTGCCTATTGGAGGCAAAGTGTAGGGGCATTGATTCATGTGCGCTGGCAAAAGGAATGAGGGATGAGGAAGAAGGTTGGGGTATTGAAGTGCAATTCCTCAGGGTGGGGGATCTGATTCTTGTTTCCCTGCTGTGTCTCCAATTAGATGCTTTGACTGCTTTTCACCAAACATTCAAACAATGTGGAAACTTAGATTATGGAGGGAATTCTAAATTGTTCTCTCCCTAAGATTTAGTAAATGCTTATCTATCTGTGGATGGAATTATTCATACTTGGGCTTCTTTACTTTAGCTTATATAAGATTGTATGGTTGTCTCAACGTCATAGATGAACATGATTTCCTTAAATTTTTACTTAAATACTGAGGAAAATAACCTCTTTTTTCTTTTATGAAGTTGACAAATAACATGTCTCACTTAGGATGTTAAGTAAATCCTCTCCTCTTTTAAACTGTTCTTCCACTGGGGATCCTTTAACATGAAAATTTACATAAAACATAGCCTATCACTTACAGGAGTTCACTTCTCTTAAGGAATGGGTTATCCTATCTCCCTTTCCCCTTCCCCAAGGAAATGAGAACTTTCTGAGGGCAAAAGCAACATATTCAATCCTCTTCAAGTCCAGTCATTTCCCTGGGCAAGTACGGTGCTCTTCGCAGGGATAAGAACAAAACAGGGTCCTGATCCTCATGGAGACACCGTTAACATGCAAACACACTTAACGGAGGAAGGGAGTGTAAGAACTGCCCAAAAGGGGACTGGCCTGGTGGCGCAGCGGTTAAGTGCACAAGTTCCACTTTGGTGGCCCGGGCTTTGCCAGTTTGGATCCTGGGTGCGGACATGGCACCGCTTGGCAAGCCATGTTGTGGTAGATGTCCCACACAGAAAGCAGAGGAATATGGGCATGGATGTTAGCTCAGGGCCAGTCTTCCTCAGCAAAAAGAGGAGGATTGGCAGTACTTAGCTCAGGGTTAATCTTCTTCTTCTTCTTCAAAAAAGAACTGCCTCATTCCTTTATCCATATGCACTTTGGGACACATGGAAAGGAGCCCCTAGCAACTGTAACCTTTGCAAAACTATTTTTCTTCCTTGCTTTTCCTCATTATCATGAGGTAGGAAAAACATGACGCATAGTGAGGTCCTAGAGCCGCAGCACCAGCCTCAGTGGGGAGTTTGTTAGAAATGCAGAGTTTCAGGCCCCTCCCCACACCTGTGGAATCAGAGTCTGCGCTTCGGCCAGTTTGTCAGGTGATTCACACGCATCTTCAAGTTTGAGAGGCACTGCTCTAAATTAGGACCAGTTCCTAGCCAGTAGCATTTAACGTGACCATGAATTAGTGTGGCCAGGAGCTTCCAAGGACAGAATGCTCTGAAATCTTCTAATTGGAGGGAGTCTCGCCTCTACACGAGGTGGTGGTCTTCATAAGCCACTGCAGATTCTACGGTTTAAGGAATTTCCTCACTCTGTAAGCATTTTAATATACAGTGATAATCCATAACAACACATTGTTTCTAAAATCATTACTCAGGACTTTTACCTAAAAAAGGGCAAGAAAGTGGAAACTTTCTCAGGATGGGATAGATTTTACTGTTTCCCATCTGTATAGGAATAAGCATGAGTGGACAGGTGCTGTGCCATCTTTTAGATACTCATTTTAGTGCCTTTCTCTCAGGTCAACACACAAATTGATTTTTTTCTTTTAGTTTGGATAATTCTCCTTAGTTTAGATGTTCACTCAATTCTTCTTGCTCATGTTGACATTCCTCTTTTCAGCGTCAGTTTACCCAGGAGGAGTAGAATTTTGGATTCCGATGGACTTACAGCATGTTTTGTGACGACACATAGCCATTTTGTAGCAGCTAGTGAAACGATAATCCATTATACGAATTCAATTTGGCTGTGAGGAATGTTATACATTCATGACACAATCATATTCCAGGTAGGAGAACAGAGAAAATGGAATCTATTTCTGGGTAACCATGCAATATTGGTCTCATTTCGGGCTTTATGGCAGTGCAGATGGCAATACACATTTCTGAACAGTATTTTCGAGTCCTATTTGAGGTAGACCAAGAAACTGAATGTTTTAAGACCTACTGCTTTCATTTTATTCTTAAGGAATGCCTTACTTGACATTATATCATATGTAGGCTGCAGAACTGTCTTTTTATGTATGTCCTGAGTAACCCCGATATTGGAATAAAGGGAAAGAAAACTTAAATTTAAGAATAACTCTGCCGTTATGTACATTATGTATCATTTCTCAAACTACTGCATTAGTCTGGTCTGAAACATGCTGAAAAAACAGGGCTGGGCCTCGGCTGTTTCCTCAGTGATCAATGCTGTCTTCATTTTGAGGTGTGTGATTTAAATGCTGAGCACATGCTCACTCAGAAATAGTGTCGATCAGCATTATGGGCACTAAACTCAAAGTGGGCAGAGGAGGTGATGATCTGGTGAAGTGAGCCATGGATCTGGCTGCCTAGTGCTAATAAGGTTATCAGAACTTTCACAGGTATCTGCTAAATTTCATTCTACGGTTAAAGATAAAAGCAAATAATGAAGCCATTTTCCAGTAATTTCATATTCCTCTTTATGGAGACAGGGCTGGTCCTGTTATTTCCAAATTTAAAAGATCATAACGTGAACGAAGAGTTTAAATGGCTTTCCTACAGCTAATTACAGGTAGTCTGAAACTCTCTCCTAGCATAGTTGTCTTTCCACTCAGCTGCTCCTCTTACTTTCAGAAAAAGGGAGCAAGGCACCTATATTTCGGGTCCTATTAATCTCACTATCCAGACACCACCACCACAACACACAAGTATCTCAAAGGGTGTGTGGATCTCCTTTATTCAACTTTATCAGCTTAATTCAATGTATGTATTTTCATGGGAAAATTAGGAAATGAAAAGTTATGTATTTCCTTAAAGAGCAAACCTAGCAGAAATGCTTAA